TTTAGAAAATAAGTCAAGTAAAAAATGTTTGCCTGCCATTATAGAGCTTTTTCGTTAGCGTTCTTGAGGGAAAGAGCTGCCGCAAAATCGGCGGGCGGGTGTGTCACTGACACACCCCCAGCTCGCCGCGGGGTCACGAGCCTACGGAGCCCTGGAGGGTTCATAGAGAGAAAAATAAATAAAACGTGGCCACGTTTTACTTTCTCGTGCGCACGCTTTAGTAACTCGTGCGCACGAGTTACTAAAGCGTGCGCACGAGTTAATAAAGCGTGGCCTCGTTTTATTTAAATTGAGGGATTCCTGTCCGTGACTCACAGTATCTGCTGCCCACAGCTGTTTTATAGAAGGAAAACCTCTTTCACTTTATGAAATCTCAGCGGCACCAGTGGCCTGTACTACGAAGCAGGATTGGCTATTTACACTATTCATTCATGAAGTATGACGCTGCGCTGTCAGCACGCGTCTCCATGTTTGTGATTGGTCAAATGTTGCTAACCCCGTCCCTTTCACCTGAGCGCGCTCTCAGCCGGACAGAGAAACCCTGGTTGATTTACTGAGTTGATAACCAGCTTCGTAGGACCGCTTATCGACATCGCGTTTGTTAGGGTCAGTTAAGCCGGGTAAATCGAACATATCCAGGTCCAGGGTCTGTTGAACTGGCTTCGTCGTACAGGGCACGGGAGGCAGTAACGTGTAACTCAGCAGAATCTGAGAAGAGCAGCACCAGCTGCAAAGAGCTGTGCCTTTTACTGTTTACTTCACTGCGTTTCCCTTCATTAGAACCGCTGAATAGAGATCGAGGCTGCTACGTTTAACCACACACACCTATACACACATCGAACTACCAGAGTATTCCCCCTCGCTTTATGATGGAGATGTCCTGTCACCGGGGCGCATGATGTGTGTGTGTGTGTGTGTGCTCAGCTCCGCTCTGTGTGCGTGTTCGTGTGTATCCGACACCACCGGCATTTGTTTTCAAATTACCACGAACAGTACTTTAAACAAATCTGGTTCCCCATAGTTAAGTGTATTCCCAAGTGAAAGAAATGTGTTTAATCTTAATCTCGATGTGCTATAGTCCTGCCGGAGTGCACCGGAACGAACGATACTATCATAAACAAATCCCCCCCCCCCCCCACACACACACACACACAAAACGAGGCCATGCTTTATTAACTCGTGCGCACACTTTAGTAACTCGTGCGCACGCTTTAGTAACTTGTGCGCACGCTTTAGTAACTCGTGCGCACGAGTTACTAAAGCGTGCGCACGAGAAAGTAAAACGTGGCCACGTTTTATTTATTTTTCTCTCTATGAACCCTCCAGGGCTCCGTACGAGCTTGATGACGAATCATAATTCTTTAAGGAAATCGTTTTTATTTTGTATTATAATTACTGTGAAATGTATTATGTTGTTGTCATTATTACAACAAATACACACTTGCAACTGGCAATGATTTTATATTTATTAGACTATTAAATAAAAGATCATACTCCAAATAAGTGTCCAACGCCCAGTACACCACTGATTGTTGATGATAAAGCTATGAAAAAACAACCAGAAGGCTCAGCGGTGCCTTGAGGCAGAATTCATCACGGCTTAAAGTGGTTTACGGGAATTTGCATCAGTAACACCGAACAACAGCTATTGCAAATTGTGCTGGATTTAGCCCAGTGTGAAAAATAAAGAATGCCTCTTTCTATTGCTTTAGTTGTGAATAGCACACAAACAGTTTGGCTATGCTAAGACAAATGCTCTTGTTCATCGCCCATCGATTTTAGTGATTGGCCACTTCACGCCCACAGAATCCATCTGTTTGAACCTGTACAATCAGTGATGCTGAAGGAAGGCTTTTTCTATCCCTGATCTGCCGCCATTTGACATTGATTGCTCATGTTTGATAATGAGGAGAAAACGGGATCTACATTCAATGTGGGGGGGGGGGGGGGGGGGTGTTATTTTTCTCCCCACACATTACATCATGGTCAGTCCGGCCTTTACCAAGTTTTTGACATCTGTGGCAGCGGCAGATGTTGCTGCCCTCTGCCTGTCTTCGTAACAGCTGAGCTGCTTCAGAAAGGTCACCACAGAGCCAATGATACTTAACACACAGACCGTGAAATAATGTTCGCAATATGTTGGCTGTTCAGATGGCCGTCCATATTAACATTCATCTTTCAAAGGACATCTTTGATATGAAGTTGTGAGTCTGAATTGAACTGGCACGTGCATATTCGGGTTATGAACAGCACAGTTGTACTCAGTGTCTCTGCTGTCAGATTATTCCTGATTGAGTCCATTTATCAAATAAAGCCCAGTGTGGGCTAAATTAGGCCGAGACCAGCAAAGTATTGCCCTTGTTTGAAGTATTTTTACCTGAGCGAAAATGTTTCATTTGGTCAACATGAGTTAACTTTCAAAATGAAAGTAAATGAAGCCTGTGGAGCACGAACCCCGCTGCCGCCCAGTTTCATGTCCAGTTATGAACAAAAGCATTCAAAAGAACACTGTACCGCTGATTCAAAAGTATTTGTGGGTTTAAGTGGGCCTGAATTAATAATTGCTGGTATTGTTTTTTTTGGGCTTTTTGGAACTAATGGCCTAATTGCTTCTGATGCCTTTGTTAAAACCTAATAATTTCATGGCAGCTGAACCTCACACTGCACAACATATTTTAGGTTTTAGGATTTCTCTTTGTTTGGCAGTTTTTTCAGATATCTTAAATACTGAGTGACTCTCAGAGTGCTGCAGGTCCATGAGAGAATCAGGAAGTCCAATATGACTGTTAACACTGCTGAGATTTAATACAACATATGAAAGTTGCCCTTATCAGAATAAAAAAGGTCAGATTCAATGTGATTCGTGCTGTCTACACTTTTTCAAAAGTTCACATATATGCACAAAAAAATATTTGTGTTTTTTTTTGCTTGCAGTGTGAGCATGATGTAGATGTATATGTTCTGTTTACTTTTCCATTAGATAAGTGTGAATGTGCATGTGTGTGTTTATCTCATAGTATTAGCGATCCCATATAAAACCCTCTGCTGTAGATGGAAAAGTAAATCTGAATCCATCCTGTATGAGAATTTTATTTTAACACTCTCACTGTTTGGTGTGATTTCGGGGGTGTATTGTGAGTGTCGGTTAACGTGCCACTGTGTCTGGAGGTGTGTGACTGCACTTGAATACATATTGGTTCGGTGTGAGAGTGTGTGTGGGTGCATAAATGTTTGCCGAGCTCCAGGCAGAGCTGGAAGAATCCGTGCTGCAGTAGAGTTGCACTTTGCAGGACGCCACGAGCGGCTCTCTATCTCCTGACTGTCAGGCCGCGGCTGAGCCCTGCAGCTGAATGCATGTGTGCCACTCTGCTCACTGCAATAAGAGAGAGAGAACGCCTCAGTGAGAGAGAGTGAGGGACAGAGACCGGCAAAATCATTGATGATGCTGTGGGAGAGCTACGAGTGTGGTGGCTAAATAATAAATGTGTGATATCGGGTTTTGTGTGTGAAGCCAGACTAAAGACTGTTCCGGTGGCAGTGCTGAGGAGAGAGGGTCACACAATGCAGGAGTTTTTACATTTGGAAGAAAGAGTGGAATAGAAGCTAATTAACTGGTTGTTGGACTTTTGACATAAATGACGTAATCATTTTCCTAATTTAAAAAATAAATAAACTTCCTTATTAAACTTAAAGGGGCCCTCTCATTCTTTTTGGGGTTTTCCCGTTCCTTCAGTGTGTTATATAGGTTTTTGTGCATGTAAATGGTCTGCAAAATCCTTTCTCTCCCCCCCTGTCTGAAACGCCTTGATTCGACTCCTTTGTTTACTTCAGTAACATATGACGCTTTTCCACTGCAGGGCCCTCGCTCGGCTTAGTACGGTATGGCTAGGCCTCGTTAGGCCTTGTTAGGCCAGGCTCACTTTATGCTGCGTTTCCATTACAGTTTAGGAACTGGGGTAGTAACTATAGTAACGCAGTGTAGGCGGAGCCGTGATGTCATCTTCAATGCGAAACACAAAACCAACATCAGCCGTTAGCTGTTAGCCCTCAGAGCTCACAGCTCCTCATATCTGTTCATAAACTAGACAAAAGTTAAACAAGTACAAACCACAGACTGTCTGTGTCATGGCGAATACAGTCGATGGTTTATTTATGTCTGTATAGACCGTTGTTGTGAGTGTGGACGGTCGGAGCATATACAACGTTAGCATTTTAAAAGGTGTTTCGCCTGCATTAATTCATGGTTTTTACTAACCGGTATCAGTATGTTGTGACTTCGGCATCATTTTGAAACGTGTATTACAATTAATCACGGTCAAAATATGTTCATTTGTTGTAGTTGCCGGGCACGGCTCCGCGCTGTAGGGGAAATGCGCCATTAGTGACATCACGATGTAACACTCGCGCTTCTATTGGCTAGCGCTCTTACACTTCGTATATGATAGGCTAAGGGGGGGGGACATCTCTAAGCGGTTGATCAATCACAACAGAGCCGGCCAGCTAACCAACAGAGCAGACTGGGCTCTGGTTTCAGACAGAGGGTGACAAGTGGTGCTGGCAGTATGAGAAAAATAAAGTAGAGACACTACATACTGATATGAACCTGAAATGAGCACAATAGAGCCCCATTAAAGATGTTCTGCTTTTAAGTGTTGAATTACATGGTAAATTCAGTACCTTTAGATGATGGACTTTTAGTTGGAAAAAAACACAATATGAAGACTCCACCTTTGTCTCTGATAACGTCTATTATTTACCTTTACTCACATAACTTTTTTTTTTTAGATAAATCCATAATGACACTAATCATTGCAGCCCTAAACAAAAGAAAATCAGAAAACATTCCTCTTTTTAAAGTGTGAAGAAATTATAGATTCCCAGTGATATTGTAGATTATACAAACACTTGTATAAATGTGCTGTTTTTCATTAACAACTCTAACACCTCTTCTCTCTCTTCCCCCTCTCCTCCCCACTTTGTCTTCTGTTTTCTCCATGAAGGTGATGCTTCCTACAGGAGCGGCGTTCAGGTGGTTCCAGTAGGACTCCTCCACTCCTACCCCAAAGCTCTGCCATCAAGTGCAATGCCAACCTCCTGGATTGTCTCCGGAAACAGACACTGGCTAATAAACAAAACAAGCAACACATAAAATGATAGAAAAAAACAACAAAAAAAACAAAGCTGAACAAAAAAAAGAATCAATCGGGGTAATGGATGTACCTGCTTATTCCTTGAACCAAAATGCAGCGTAAAGAAAAGCATTATGGCAACTTTCATTCCCTTTTCTATGTTTCCATTTTGGTACCTTTTGTCCTTTTTCCAGCAGGTTTTTTTCTGCCGCTTAAACATAGAACTGTCTCATTGCCAGAAACAGAAATGACGGACTGAGTGTGGACAATCAACTAATTTCTGTGTTTGGTGTTAATGTTGTTCATGTGTGGAAAGATACAGTACTTGTGTAGAGAATGTAAATTTACAGCTATATTTCAAAACTAGTGGCTAATGGCAAAACATTATCGTAATTCTTCACCATTATGTTACTTAAACCCTTGTCTATTTTATAATTCATTTAGTTGAAGGGTCTAGTTTTCAGACGGATCGATGGGTATCTTTTAAAGACAGACAAAAGTGACACCATTGAATTGTACAAGTTAAACTAAAGTGAAAAAGTAATGTTATGTTAGGCCAGGGGTGTCCAAACTACGGCCCGGGGGCCAACTGCGGCCCGCTGTCCATTTTGAATTGTCCCTCAGAAAATTCTTGTGCTATAATGGAATATGGCCCACACCTGAAACTTGTGCTTTTCTTCGATTGTACTTTTTTTAATATATATGTATAGTAAACAGATAATACACATTAGTATTCCCACTTTTCAAATAAATTCAGTCAATTACATTGGAAAACATTTTATATCACATCTTAGTTGATAAAAAAAAGCCCAATACCTTATTTGCATAACAAGTATACCCTTCCTATTTCCCCTTATTATAAGCAGTCTGAGGATTCTGTTTTAAGGAATGAGCTGCCAACACTTTTTGCAACAACATAAGTGAAATGTGGGCTGTTTCTTTTCTTAACGCAAATTCAAGTATCAAGAATAATTGACCTAGATTTGATTGAATTTGATAACCTATAACTTCACTTATGATGCAATATACCTCACCTCTAGTGAATGGCCCAGCCCTTTGAATATATTTCTGTACGTGGGCCTTAGTAAAAAAAGTTTGGACACCCCTGTGTTAGGCGGATCTCCAGAGACTCTTCTGGGTTTGCCACTACTGTAATCTCTTCAATCAGCCCTCTTCTGCAACTCCAAACTTTTCCTTTAGTGAAACTGCCAGCCCAATGTTACTCTGGCCCTACTGAGCATGTGCCAAAACTGCTCAGGGCAAAAAACGCTAAGAAACAGCACTTGCTCTGAGTCTACCCTACTGAACGCACTGAGACAAGATTACATTTCTTTTTACTTTGTTGGTTATTTGTTATATTTCATGATTTTGTTATGTTGCTGGGTAGCTACAGCTTTTAAAAATAACCAATCTTTGTATTCGTTTAGAAAATTGGACTGGTTTTGTGAATAAAAAGGAATGCATGTATTCGTGTCGAAATTTACAATTCTGATGTTTGTCTTCTTGTCTATTTGCATGTTGTTTCCCCCCCAAAAAAAACTGCTGGTTCGACAAAAAGAAGCTTTAAAAATACATTTTCCATGAGTTTCAAAAAAAGTGTTCCCTTATCTTTCATAATTGGATGGTGTTGGAAAATTCATCAAAGATTCGGACGTGAGCAGAACTCATTAAAAGTAAATCAGGCGGCGGTATGGATGACCACGATGTCCTTGGTTTGACTGAGATATTTCTCTCACTGCCTATGTAATATCTTCCTACAGTGCAATGACTGATGGAGCCTTGCTATGCTAAGATGTAACCAAAATGATTTAAAAGATGTTTGAATAAGAACAATTCTGATTGCAGTGTTTCTTCAAATTTCATTACACCTCTGGGAAATCCTCCCAAATGATTTTTTTTAACTCTCTGTCAATCTTCTGAGCCTTCTCGTGACATTTACAGCCAGCAAATCTTTACTAGTCATGGATTACTGATGGGAAGTTTGTTTTCAGAGCTATTAAGTCAATCCAGAAGAAGCCTGGATAAATTGTCTGGATGCGTCAAGCATACATGGAGTAGAAGTTTGGATAAAGACAGAGATAAGTTAAAGCAATGCTGAATAAAACAAAAAAAAAACTTTCTGAAATGTGGTCAATCTCACATGGTGTAATTACTGATTCTAATGCCTCAGGTCTGTGACACTAGAGCGAATTTCCATTTCCTGCTCGTGATGATTCTCAGTGATTTTTTTCCCTTCACGGCCCCAGAGTCACTCTTTCATATCCAGGTGGGGAAATAGATGCAGATTCCTGTCTCTGCCGTAGTGCTGTGTTGTTAATTAGTGCATTTCCACGGTGGAAGGCCCAGTACGGGGATCTTGTGTACAAGCTCGTGATCAGCTTGGCGAGCCGTGGGCTGGAGGGAGTAGCTATATTCCTAGCCCCCCCCCCCGGTGACAGTGCTGGGCTACTTGCCATTGCCATGACGATGGGGGAGTGTGTGGTGCGTTAGTGTAAGTGTGTGTGTCTGGGGGGGGGGGAGTGGGGGCTAAGGCCTTTCATTATTAATGTGCACCGCGGCGTCCTTACCTCCTCTGAGCCCGCACAGCTCACTGCCTGACCTGCCATCCGAGGGAGAGGGGAGGGGGGGGGGGGGGCGGAGATAAAGAAAGAGAATTGAGCCAGAGGAAAAAGAAAGAGACAGCACAACTAGTGTCGAAAGCACACAACCGGAAAGTAGAAATACTTACTTTTGTTATTTCACATTTATTCACCTGAGGACCGAAAAAACTAAGAGATTAAGATTTTGTGTTTGGGGTGTGGCTGCAGGTGACAGGGGCTGCTGAGGTGTAGCAGCCCGAGGGTTTGGGGGAGGGGGGGGGGTTTAGGTGTGGGGGGGTTTCTTCATGCAGAGGAGTGTACGGCTTGGTGAGCAGGCCTGTCACACTGGGAAAATCCTGGAATCTTATCACCGCCTCACAGACTCTGAGCCGCACTGATCTTACTCACCCTCATTGCCAGCAGACACGCACCTCCCCCCTCCTCCCCAATGCCCTGCACAGGCTGGCCCCCTCGGCTCGCTCGCCACCTTCTTCGTACGAGAAGGATAGCAGGAACTGATGCAGTCCAATTGTTGAGGAGGGGAGGAATGTTGCTTGTAAAAATCTGACTAACAGGAAGAAAAAAACACAACCTTTGCAAGTGAGAACAAGGGCCAGAGGGCTGTGGAGTCAGCAGTGACCCTTGTTTTACTGGATGACTACTGAGAAACACCACTGTGCTGTATGTGAATAGCAAAGAGAGGTTTTCTTAAAGTTATTTTTAGGCATGATCTTACCCAAACCACATGGTTGTTTAAGGTTTCAATCTACTGTGTGAAATACACAAATAAAAGGAGGTAATATATCAGAAATGTAGCCATAGTTCTTACATCATTCTGAAAAAAAAACCGAGATGAATAATCTGTTAATTTAAAATGATAGTGCATCCTCCCTGAATGCTCCTCTTGTGGACTGTAGAAATCAATGCAGCCGATACTATTGATCCCTTGCAATTGGTGCATTCTCTAATCAATTGATTGAGAACAAGATTTTCAGATTAAAATGTTGCTAAATGGTCCCTCATGGATAAGCCTACCGATCAGAACAGCTATAGTGAAAATATGGTCAGACTGACGCATTCAATGCTGTTCCAAATGTGTGTTATGAGAAAGCTAGCAACTAAGGAAACAGGGACATTGTACTATCTAACAATTTAAAATAGATGTTGGTCAAATTAAACGTCTAGGGATAGAAATGCCATGATTCTCATCTATACAGTATGTGAAAAACTGGAGTTTATAATTGCTTTACATATTACAAATGTGGTTCGTTTGGCTTTCATTTTATGTTTTAAAGTATGTTAAAATATAAGAATGCTCAATACACTTTTTGTGGGTCATTGTATATTGTAATTTATTAAAATGACAACTAAATGATTTGATTTTACATTTTTTTTATTGGCCATTCATTTTACCAAACATATTTTCCATCCTATATATTCAGTTAATGTGTTATTTTGGCTACATTTTAGTGCAAATATTATAATATTCCCCTCGACAAACCCTCAGTGTGTTAATATATTATCACATTTTTGTACAAATATAATTTCATAAGAATATTTCCTTATTCCCGGTGAGATCAGGCTTCATGTTGAGGTAAATGTGCTAAATAGCAAAGGATAAATCTCACTTGGGTATGAATGAATAAAATGTTTACTCTCCAAACCACCAGCACCTCCGCCCACCCACGCAGCTCTATACACACACATGCATATTGGATTGGCTCAAAATGACTTTCAGCTGTTAGAATATTACTACAAGTGGGTTGATTTCACTCATAAATGCTAAACACACAACGGTTGCTGTTTAAACTGAGTAGTATATATGATATATAATTAGGGCTGTCAGTCGATTAAAATATTTAATCGCGATTAATCGCAAATGAATCGCACATTTTTTATTTGTTCTATATGTACCTTGGAGGAATATTTTTCAAGTTTTTAATACTCTTATCAACATATGAGTGGACAAATATGCTTTATGCAAATGTTTGTTTAGTTTTTATGTTGGTAATGGGGTCAAGCAAGGTGGGATTGTATCTCCTTTGTTGTTTAATCTGTACATGGATGATCTGTCGAGGAAACTGAACTTGTGTAAAACTGGCTGTGTCATCGGTGCTACTGTTGTCAACCACCTTATGTACACAGATGATTTAATCATCTTTTCCCCGTGCAGTGCTGGCTTACAACAGCTTCTGAGGACTTGTTCCCAGTATGGCATTGATTTTAATATTAAGTATAACGCCAAGAAGAGTAACATCATGATTGTACGAAGTAAAGAGGATAAAAAGGCTGTATTTCCTCATTTTATTCTCAGTAGCAACATTCTTCTTGTGTGCAGTGAGATGAAGTACCTTGGTCATTATATTTCTGATGATCTCACAGATGACAAAGACATCCATAGACAACGCTGCAAACTGTATGCCCAGGCAAACATATTAATGCGTAAGTTTCACAAGTGCTCTGTAGATGTCAAGGTATCACTTTTTAAAGCTTTCTGTACACCATTGTACACGGCTCACCTGTGGAGTAACTACAAGGCTAGCAGCATGCACAAACTAAAAGTTGCATACAATGATGCTTTACGGTTGCTGCTGAGGGTACCGAGATGGCACAGTGCCAGCCAGCTGTTTGTTAACTTGGGGGTACCTACCTGTCAAGCCCTTTTAAGAAAATTAATGTACAAATTCATGTGTCGCCTAGTAGACTCGGACAATTATGTTATTTCGATTTTAATTAACCCTGTGAAGAGTTCTACCCGGTTCTCTTCCATGATTTGGAGACATTGGCGCAATAGCCTCTACAGACAGTGAGCATGTGTGGCTCGTTGTGATTGGACTGATTTTATGTTTTTATCCGTTTGTTTTTATCTGTTTTGTGTTTAGCTTTTTATCTTATTTATTGATGTGTGTTTTGTCTTTTTGTGTGATATGGACCTTGAGTCTGGAATAAAGATTGGATATATCATTGGAACAATGACTAATATTCTCCTGAATATTTTCAATACAACAATCTGGAACCTCTCTCTCTCCCTTACACTCTCTCCCAACCCTTGCTCAAACAGACAAGCCTGTTTACAGTTGTCGGCGAAATGCCGCTCCTCTGTCTTCATATTCAGTCAAAGCATAAGACTGAAGTTCCCACAGGGGTCAAAATAATGCATAGGAGCCTGCCTGCAGGCGCCAGTCTCAGGACACCTCCACTCTGAGGGCAACTCCACTCTCAGGACAGGAAATGCATGCACGCTAAGAATTACAAAATAAAATCGCCACTATCAGTACAGCGCCACTTTCCGAACAGGAAATGCATGCAAATACAAAATAAAATCGTACTGATACTTATTATATACATATGTATATATATATAAAAAAAATAGGGACATCTTGTATAGAGAGGCTCCCCTTCCGGTGGGACTCATGGGACCCTATTTTGGAAAAATTATGTATTGAAGTCAATGGAGAGAGAAAGATTATCTTTCGATCCCGTTTGAATTGTTCCACGAATTACACATATGATGTTTGTCAATCTTAAATAATAATTTCCATGTCAAAAAAGTCACAGTTTGTCGTAAAACTGTTGAAATATAAGACTATGAAAAAATACGCAACTAGAAAGACTACAAATCCCAGAATCCCGGTCCCGCATGCTTGCTCTTACGGAACCAACTAACGGCCCGTCCACACAGCGGCGTGCGTTGAAGCTTCCAACGCTTCTGCCCATTCACTTTGAATGGGGTGACGTCACTTTTAGCCAAACTGCGTTGCTGGCATTGCTCGCTTCAAAAGTTGAGCAATGTTCAACTTTTGGCGCCTCGGCAGAAGCGTCAGCCAATGAAATCCCGTGTATGCAAATCTGCCAGAACAAGCGCTAGCCAATCAAACCGCGTGTATGCTGGGAGAGACTACGCAGGTCATTTCCTCATATTCCAAAAAATGGAGGGAAAATTCATTATTGCGGTAGTGAATCACCCGGTGCTGTATGATCAGTCTCTGTTCATCTACCGGGATACAAAACCGGAGGAAACCAGGCATGGAGGATGGTGGCAGAGACAGTGGGTGGAACTGGTAGGTTTTCGCCGTTTTGGGGATTTTATATCCAGTGTACTTCGTTTTAACATTGCTATTGCTTTGTATGTCGGGGGCGGGAGATTCATGTGATTGGTTGTTGGTCGCGTTGCTCTAAAAAAATCCCCAAGCTTCAGACACGCCAAGCGTTCAACGTTACGCTGCTGTGTGGACGGGCCACACACTCCCCTTGTGTGTATGCACAGCTCTCAAGTCTCAACATGCCCAGACTGGATTGGACACAGGCCGTGGGGGGACACCCAAGACCAGGCAGTGTCGCTGGTAGAAGGAACCGGGTGAAATAGCCAAAAAAAGAAAATGAATAAAACCGGGGAAATAGGGGGACTAGTGAAAAAAAGTTTCCGAAAATAGGCACTTGTGAGGCGGGCAGAGTCCCCTGTCAACTCCCGTTACATTCCTCCATGGTGTCATTTGGGGACGAAAAATGGCTAAGTCAACTTTTACGAGAACCAGGCTCGGGGGGTCAAA